GGCGGGCTTGTCCTAATGATAAAAATCCAGCAGGTTTCTGTTCCATTTCTTCTCTACTGTGTTCTGTTGTGCTGGCTGTCAGCCAGTGGAGCGATAAGAGTTTCACTGTGTATTGATCAAGTAAAGGTGCTGGGAAGTAAAGATCTCTTTTGCGGTGATAAGAATTTGACCATACTGAGACCATGCAACCCTTGCAGGTGCAGACCTGCTGGTTAGAAAGAACTTTTGTAGACTGCCCTACTGGAGCACAGCAAGCTGATGAGAAGGACTGTCATCAGGATGTATTCCATCAGTTTAAATAGCATTCTGTCCTTGAGTATTCTGTATAAATGTAATCTCTGCTTCTGGGGAGCAGTTTTCCTAGTATGTGACTTCAATGGGGCTGTCCTGTGCTGTCAGACTCTTAGGTTTTGGGCTAATGACTCAGAGCTGTCATCTCCAACACCAGGTCTGAAACAAGGATTCCCTCCTGTCTCTTCCAGGATAGCTTTCCTGCTGTTACCTGCATTGGGCAAATAATGTCTTAAAGCACTTTTTATGGAGGAACAAAAGAATTACCTGATATGTCTTTAAATAGGACCTCCAGAACTAGAGTCCTAAATAGAAAAGTTTCATGGCCTCTTTCAAGGCCTAATTCTGATCTTTGCTGAGAAAATCTGCAACTGTGTAAGCCTTGGGACCTGAGGACTGTCACTACATGCACACTTAGTGTGATTCCCCATGTGTAATTCTCCATCTTCTCAAAATATAAATGTAGATTGCAAAACCTGTTTTTTCTATTTCAGCTCCCTAAAATTTACTCCATTTTTATAAGAAATTTGGAATATTTTTATTTTTTTATCTAAACCATTGTTGGTGCAAATTATTATTAGTCTCTTCAGGAAGTGATTTCATTGCTAGGAAACCCTGCTATCAATTTGCCAAAGGTAAACAGGCACTTCGGCTCTCTTAGAATAAAAGATAGGGGTGGTCAACTTGGAAAACTTTGGAGGCAAATAGAACTTAGCTCCTGGCAGGCAAAAACAACAAGGATTTGTGTGAGGCTCAATCTCTGTAGGGAGAGAACTTGTCTGAGAGCTTAACAATTTTTTTTCAAGATTTCTTTTATTGGGCCAATATTTTGAGCTTTGTCTTGCTGCCTTCATGGGAGACAGCAGCAATGTCAGCTTTCCTGGTATGGGATAATTAACTAATATGAAAATTCAGCTGAAGGAAATCCATAGAGGGGTGTTACAAACTGGCTTGAGTCCATGAAGCTAGGTAAGAAATGTAAGCTAGATTTCAAGTTTTGTTATACTAGTTAACTAAATACCTTACCTTATTTATTTTGGTGTATGCCATGGCCAAAGATTTTTATGTGAGCCTAATGGAGGAAGCACAAAGAAGTATACAGAAAAGTGGTGCTTCTTAAACCCTGCTTTTTATCTTAATGATAATGTTGCCACAGTAATAAGCTAGTGATTATACTTTATATTGGACTTCATCAGATGGAACATGACAGAGGAAGCTGCTCTCTGTGGGTAATCTTTTCTGAAGCTTAAAATAAAGAGAAATAATTCAGGTGAATTGCAAATTCACACTGGATTTTATTTTCTCTTCTTACCTGAATCTGTCAACCAAATGATGCTCCCTTAGGCTTGTTTCTCATTTTGACTGGTAGAACTGGGAGAAAATAAGGCCAATTGACTTTGGTATGTAGCTTATTTACTATAAAAGTTTGTCAGCTCATGTTTTTGGTAGTTTCGTTTTGGTTTGGTTTTTTTTGTTTTCACTTAAACACAGAATTCATGGGACATGGTTGCCTCAAATTTCACCCTCATATTAAAATCAAGGACAGTTACTGTAGTGCAACATGTCATGCAGTGCTCTACCTTATGATACTACTGCTTGTTACTGTTCTGCTCAGAGAGGGCAGCAAAGTATTGCAGATCTGGGATCCCAGAGGACTTCAGTTCTGAGGGTAATACTGAGGAAGAAATGTTATCTTATTAATATACAAGATCTGAAAAGAGAAATAGGGAAGCAATCAGATCATTACTACTTAAATGTACTTAAGCTTTTTGTCCTTTAAGCTATGGGTGTTTTCTAGTAGTGGAGATGCTACCAAGACAGTTTAATCCCTCTGAATTTAGATGTACAGTAATCCTGATAGCTGTTTTAAAAAGAGTCCCAGCAGAAACACAATAGCTGTAGAGTTCAGGATTCAACCCAAACTGGACTACTCTATGACTCATTTGGCATGAAGAGAAACGTTTTAAATTTATACATACAATTAAGAAAACATTGAAATGGATTTGCAGCATGGTGAGGTTGATGACAGTTGCTATGTTAGGTATTTTCATTACACCTTGAGACTTTCATATTCTTATAAGATTGGATGTTTCTTTTCTGGTTGACACACATGAAGGTGCAATGAAGTGCTAGGTGAAAAGGTTCAGACACTATCCCTTCTTCTTGGTCTTTGGTGGAAGATGGCAGTGCATTTCCTAGGCAATGTAGGCAACTCTTTCCTAGACAACCCTTTAAAATCAGGTAAACAGATAAATTTGTGAAATTTTTCTGCTTGATTTGTCACAGATCTGTGGACTTAGCAATTACTCTTCTTCAGTCTTTCAATGCCTTGGTACTTTGGCTTTCATTGCTAATGGTTACAGGTTCAGTTAACACATATAACCCAGAACAGAAAATTTATTCCTGCCCACTAATTCAGTGCAGTGCTCTTGCAGTCAATGGCTTACCAGTCAGAGCTGGAAGAGATGGCCACAAAGGTGAAAAAGGACAATCAGGTATAGAGCTATGACCATTTAGCAATATTGTATTTTTGACACTTCTTATCATCCCTTTAGTCTTGTTTCGTGCCTCCTTCATTCTTTCATTTTGTTTTTTTTTTTGTTTGTTTTGGGTTTTGTTTTTTGTGTGTTTTTTGTTTGTTTTGTTGGGGTTTTTTTACTTTTCTCCTGCCCCATTAACCTTTTGTAGGATCTGTACAATTTCAGAAAGCTGAAAATGCTTTCTGCATTTATAGTGCTACTCTAGATACTTGCCTTTTAATAAATAAAAAGTACAATACATTTTCGCAGCAGCCCATAAAACAGAGATGTAATAAGATTTTAATCTGATTGTACCATTTTTACTCTGAATCACTTAGGGTTTCCTATGATAGCCTACTAAATGCTTATTGCTTTTTCTTTCCAGGGGCCAGCTCTCAAAACCAGAAATCATGCTTGCTAGAGTTGGCTACTAATCTGATGGTCATAACTTGATTGCTTCATACTCACTAAGTCCCAACAACAGAATTGTCCCCAAGGCATGATTCGTCATTTAGGTAACTTTTCCCATCTACTGCTGCAAACAGCAAATAGATCAGCACGTGGTTTCTGTCATGTGGTAGAACCAAGTCACCTGCTCTCACAAGTTGCCAAATCATAGTTTCTGTCCAAACACTTAATAAGTCCATATGGGATCGTATACTTTCTTACTGTATCCTGTCTATGCTGTCATGTGTATACCACATATCTTAGAATTAGATAATTGCTTTTCAACATCCAAGCAAACTCCTATCATTATCAATACCATTTAATATGCACTATGGCACAAAATTTCAGTGGCACATATTGATATTCAGTATAGACATTTTCTGGTCCACATATCATCAGTGTGCTCTCTGCAATTTCATGGTTGAAATAAGTAAAGCCAGCACTATCTGTTTCAACAAACTGCTTCAGAGGTATCCTTAATCTTACTATTTAGCTGATTTTCTAAATCATATACTGTGATGTGTGATTGAATTACGGCTGAAGTATATTGGCTTTCTGGTTTTAGAGTATCGATAACTCTACAGTAACATGAGACAGCACTTCTTTCATTGGATTTTCAGTGCCATAAGTAGGTGTAGTAAAGAATTTTTCGTCAAAGTAATGCATCTCCTAGCAAATGAAGCTTTTCATAGGTACAATTCAATTTTTCTGAGATGTTTTTATTTTCCTGGGGGGGCAGGGGTGGGGAATGAGTCAGTAGTTGGTACTCTTTATAAGCATGAAGAAAACATAGTGGGAGGAAAAACTTAGAAAACATTTAAACAATTTTATTTTAACTTGCAAGCTAGGAGAAGGATTTAGAGGTCTACAGAGTTCCCCTGGAAAAGCAGGACCTCCAAGAATAAAAGGAGATTTAGGACCACAAGGACAGAAAGGAGAAAAAGGAGTAAAAAATAAAATTCTCATGTTTCTACAATCTGATCTTCAACCTTTTAGCGTATTTTTCCAAAAACTATTTGTGTTAATATCTGGTATGCTTATATAATTTGAGGAAAGGTGTGATTTCCAGAAGCATGAGGAGCAGAAAGAGAAACCTTCTGTTACACAGGAGATGGGCTGACCAACGTATCTGAGGGGGTAAAAAGTGTTTGGAATGAGTCACTAGTTTATTGTTGTCTGTGAGTGAAATAACAATCCCTCTCATATTATAAACAGCATTTTTTCTTTTATTCTTTGTTTATTCATGTGTTTTTTACTTCAACTTTAATCAATTTTAAAATGTTTACATGTGTGTTTTGCCTGTGAGAACTGGGCTTTTCCCTCTGAATAGAAGATTACTTTGGCAGCCTTGAGAATTCAAAGCCCACCCAAGTATTTGCCCTGGTAAGGGATAAGGCTCTCCCAGTGGGAAGAATTCCCATGGAACAAATCTGCAGTGTGGTCTGTGGTTTCTGCTCTGAAAACCAAATGGCTGTCTCACATGGCATAAGATTACAGGAGAGCTAAGCATCTCAAAGACAGTTGTTGTGTAGTCATTTTAATATAAATTACTAAATATCCTTAACTGATGACCTACAGAGACAAGTAACTGCTTTGGAAAGAAATGTACAGGTTTTGGAGGCTGAACTAAATGGATACAAAAAAAGATAAGGTCCAATCATTGATTAGTTTTCTGCCTGGTAAAATGATGGACATGCTTGTGCTGGAGAAGTGACTGAAAACAGTAGGTTGAAACAAATATTACAAATTTCTCTTGTATTCCTCATTGGAGGTGGTCATTAATTAAATGCTATCTTATTGAATATGTCCTTTCAACATCCTTTGCCAACATACAGGGCAGAGGTTTTGTTATATGGACTGCAGGATCAGCTACTGTTCTCTGGGTGCTTGTGCTTTAAGCATTGCATTACATTTCTCATACTGCCTCAGTTCTAGATAATTTTCTATGAGTAGACATGGATTGGGATGCTGTCTGCAAGTAATTTCTCAAGAGATACTATGTGAAAATATTCAAAGAATGTCTCATTGGTGCACTACTAGCCCTGGTACAAATGCTACATTAGGAAAAGCACAAGACCTGTCATAGTTCTTAAACTAGCTTGGGAGGAAATGACACAGGCTGCAATTTACCACATCACAAGCATCAGCAGGATAAAGTCATATAGCTCCACACCAACTGCTGCCCATCCTTCCAAGACGGTGTCTTTCCTGGAGAAAGCACAACTTTGAAACTATAGTAGTATGTAAAGCTTGAAAGTCAACCCAAAATTGAGGCAAGAAATTGAAAAGCATGGAGAGGCTGAACAGCTGTTAACAGTAATCTCTTCAGTAATCTCCCTTTTGTAGGCTCCCTTCACATTAATTTCAGAAACCTGTTAAAAAACAATAAGGTAAAATAACTTGCCCATTAGAGACAGCAACTGTGTTTCAAAAGAATTGCTGCTAGTATTTCTATCTGCTAAATGAACAAGAGCTTCACTTTCCATTGGCTTTTCATGAAAGCCTGTCAAGCGTGTGAGCTAAATATTTCTACTTCTCTTAAGATAATTTATATTATTTGGAGAATACATGGTTTCCCAGGCTCACTAAAGCTGTCCCTATGTCTTCTCTTTCTGCTCTGTTGCTTTAAACCATGAATTTCATTACAGTCCTTCAGATCTGTATTCTGTGATAAAGCTATTAGGTACAGAACATCTTCTAATTGCAGCTCTATTCCTTTGTATGATTTTAGTTGATCCGTGATTTTTGTATTGAAACCCGGCAAATTATTTTGTCATGCTTGCAAATTGAGTGTGAATTCCTTCAGATCCTGATTCAAGAGCTGTATTACTATATGAAGTGAAAATGAAAAAATATTAGAACAAGATTTATGATGTTTCTCATGAAATTCCAGTTTTCATAAAGTATGGGCTTGATATTTCTAGGTGTCTATTCTGTTTGACTTCTATTGCTTACTACTTCAAGAAAAACTCTGTTTATAGCTAGCATTAGCTACTTCTGAAATACAGTTGTGATACAGATAAATAACTATAGCATGATCACTTTTTGGTAAATACAATTATGTTCACTTTTGTTTCTAGATTTGATTTTAAAGAACATCAAGAGTATTGGTAAAAAAATTGTGTCAACTGGAAAAGAAAATATTTTGACCAACAGAAAATCCCTTTGTGCAGAAGCTGGAAATACACTTGCCTCTCCTAGGACTAAGGCTAAGAATACAGCTTTAGAAGACTCAATGAAACCTTCAAAGCAGGCTCATATAAGGGTAGCTGCTGTACAGACTGAAGGCAAGTTCATGAATCTGAATGGAGGGGCGGAAACTTACAGAAACTGTAATTCTGGAGAACCAAAAAAACTAAAAAATGAAGACTATGCGGTAATATAATTGCTTGAATTCATGTGCCTTAATTATTTGTGAATTCTTGAGCTGATGAATCTAAGAAACCCCAACATCTTTGTTCTCAATTATGTGGTTGATTGATAGAGAGGTTTGTTTCCATAAAGATGGTCTGGAGTAAACAGAACCAGCATGTATTTATTAATGTTTTCTCTTTGACATTCAGTTTTGAATCTCCTAATAAAATACAGTTTGGTTTTTTCCAATCATTATGAATTAAGTTGCATTTATCATAGTGGTAGTAAGGTCAGTAAGTTATGGCATGCTCAGCAGGGTGGTTGTTATACCTTCCTGTGAGTTCCTCACAAATGCAGTATGAGGGAAGCAATTTTTAATAATCTTGAAACTACTAAAAAATGTTATTTATTCTGTCTTTGAGCTGAGCTGTAAACTTGGAGAGATTACTCTCCACATGTTGCTTCTGATATGTTTTTATCATTTAAGTAATAGACAGTGCATACAGTCTCATTTAAGTATTTGGTGATGGCTTTGCTGCTAGTTCACTTTTACTCTAGTTCTAAAATTGATAATGATCACTTAGAGCCTAGAGTGGTATTTTTCATCTTGGTACAGAGAACCATTGCACACAAGTGATTACTGACATGCAAATAATGTCTTTTTTGAAGTTTTGGCTATTTGTGCTTGTTTTTCCATGTGATAGGAAAATGAAATGTACTGTAACTACAAAGAAGAATAAAATAGTAAAATGCCCAGCCAGGTTGCTTTTTGAGCAGTAAAACAATCACATGAGAACAAGATCTTTTTTAGCAATCTACAGGCATTATTTGAAGTACAGGAGAAATCAATCAAGATTTAAATGCAATAGGAAGCAGAAAATTTTTGTCTCAAATTAAACAGAAGAGTCTACTGGTGAAATGTATAACAAGTAGAATTTAGCTCCTGCAGAAAACCAGCAAAAGGCCTTATTTACATGAATAGGGCCTTAATGTGACAGAAGTGATACCATAGGCTTTTATGTTTTCCTTGATGGGAACTTCTTTCATCTCAAGTGAACTACAGACTGGATTAACTAGCAATAGGTGAATACTATGACCAATACTAAGCCCAATACTAAAAGTTCAACAATTAAGAAAAATGTTTGCATGCAGGCTTTAAGTTTTTTACTATGGAAGAATAGAAGATTTTCAGTTCCTCTCACTTAGTTTAAGACATGTAAGTGAAGTACCTCTGCAGAGAGAAGAACCGTGTCTACACTGGCGAGGTATGTGGACCCATGGGAACGTAGGAATGCATCAGTACAGAGAGGCATTTGGTGCCCAGCTCATCTGTTTTACAGCTGTTATTTTCATTGCCTAATTCCATGTCTACCTTTGTAAGTAATAGCATTTCTTTTCTCTGCACCAGGTTATACAGATACAGACATAAAAGCAATTACTGAAATTGTTGAAGGGTATGAATTTTTTAGAGTATGATTCATCTGCTGATCTGCATCATGTTCTCTTTGTCGTTACTGGCAGTGTATGTTTGCAGTTCTCAGGTGACCTGCATTCCTTTTCTTCATTAATTGGTGTCCTGTAGCTATCAAAACAAGAACTTTTTAAATTTTTCCTAGGAGTTTTTGATCAATATTAATTATATGAAAATGCAGGATATGGTGCAATATTTAAAAGACAGATTTGAGTTAATTTAAGACAAGAAAAAGACATTCTGGAGAGTAGGTACAATCCTGTTCTGCTTCCAGGTTTAGTGGTAATTCAGTCTCCAATGTGTTTATTTTGAATGATTATGTAAATCTACTTTGAGATTGTACCCAAAAAACAGTGTGAAATGTTTTGTGACCATTTCACATGCAGCTGGACTTTGAACAATGACATGTTATGCACCGTTGCATCAGCCAGGTGGTTACAATGACTAAATTGCTGATTTGAAGATCTGGAGTAGTATTTTGCAGATGTGAACAGTTGTGTTCTTTCAACTGTTTGTTTTTTTTTCTTTATGAATGCTATTCCTAATATTCTTATTAGGAAATATTCTTATGCTAAAAACCTAAAAACACTGGGAGTTCATGAAAGCAGAATGGGACAATGGCAGAATTCATATTGTATACTCAGTTTCATGCAGTCCAAACTTATCAGATACCTGACTTTTTTACCAGGCTGTGTACATGGGAGTTGTATTTACTTCCAGCAAGGATGGTGTAAATAGCAAATTTCAGCTACATTTCTTTTAATCTGTTTTAAGTAAATGCCTGGTCAGCTCATCTCTTGGGTCCTTAAGCTCTCAGGCTTCAGTCTGGGATCACTTCTTTTCCCAGAATTCCCTGTCCTGTAGGTTTACCCTGGTGTAAATCATCTCAAGGAAAATTGTTCTGCAGCTGAAGCACCTCCTGTGGAGAAGGAAAGCCGCTAGCTTCCCTTCCTTTCTAGAAAACCTCACTCTGCTCTGTATTACACTGATGAAAATCCATCTCTGCTGGAGTTGCCCTAGAAATGCAGCTGTGTAAGTGAAAGTATAGCTCTATTTATTACTCTGGGATTACCCAGTAAACTTTCCTGTCCTGAGCCATTGATTGCAGGAGCCGAATGGCAATGCTGAAATCTGTGAGCATTGGCAGGCCATTGTCTGGGAGCGTGCCGATCTTCTCAGACTGGATAAAATCCACAGGGAGGGAACAAGACCTGGAAATAGAAAATAAGCTTTTATTAAGTCACATGACTTGAAACGTTTGAACCCAGCAAGGTACTAACAGATGTGCCTTAAGTTCTCACCTCTCTCACCATGCAAGTTAGGGACACTTTTCTTTAGGGACAACTTTCTTTAGTAGGTGCTGAAAAGAGAGAAAGTGTTTGAAATTGTGTTCTGTTGTCTTCCTAGAGGCTTAAATCATCATCCCTGATGACCACTTAATTTTGCATTAATTATAAACTAATCTGTATTTGCTGTTATACAGCTGATTCGAACCATCTCATTTGGTGCTAATATGACCTCCACAGAGCTGAGTAATTCAGGATGAGAGCAACATTTGTTAATCAACTGCTGGGTTTATCTTTCTAAAACATAACAAAATTTTAGGCTAAGTATGGGCTTAGGAAGAGCTATCCTGTCACATGACAAAACACAATCTCTGAGAAGCTCTTTTCCTTCGCTTTATTTTTCAAGTGACAGTCTTCAGTGGGAACTACAAGGTGGAAACAGGAAGCTATTTCAATCAGTAGCAACTTGTACTTACTGCTTTATTTTTAATTATAACATAAATATAGGGGAAGGGATGGTTAACTTATGCTCAGAGCAGAAGAGAAATGTGCCCTTTGTTCTGAGTTGTTTCCTGTTAAGGAAGAAGGCATCACCCTTTTCTGTGAAGCATACAGAGGAGAAATGTTATGCAGGGAAGTCTGTGGCTTTAGTGCCATCAAAGTGGCTCTACTCTTTAGCCTAGCACCTGGAGACAGAAGGAAAGAAAAAGAATTCCTGGATTGTAATTTGGTCAATGATGTCCAGGAGAAGAAACAATGCAGGAGGGCCTGGAAACCTAGGTGCAGTCTCATATTTCTTTTAAGCTCTCTGCCAAACCTCTCAGCACTAGCAGCATGACTGGATCATCTGTGTTGGCTCTAGAGAATGAATTTATCCTGAGGCACCTATAATTAACATCTCTCTTTATGGTCTGTGACCCTAATGATGTTTCAGACATTGGTAGCTTGAGCTGTTTAGATCAGTGCTTCAGGGTAGACAGTTGTGAGAGCTTCTTCCTGGCTGGCTGTGTGCTCTGGTTTGTTTATGTCTTCAGCTAGCAGCACAGTTTGTCTCATGGAGCTCAGCTTATGCATCAATCCTGCAAGAAGCTTCTGGCAGCTTTGCAGTGGGAAGATGACTTTACAGGGTTGGCACCCTCTTCCAGGGTGTTTAAATACAGATAAAACTTCAAGCAGTTGGACTAAGTATACAGAATGTGAACAGTCATCAACCTACATTTACATGTCTGATTTCAGAAAGTCAGAGCATGCTAACATTGGAAATGGGCCTGCATCAGCTCAGCAGACTGAATTTCAGTGTTTCATTGCAGTGTTAATGGAAAATATTACTACAGAACTGCAAAAAAAAGGTGTAAGTATATGTACTGTCTCACAACATTCAAAACCCCAAAGCTGCCCTCTGTTCCAATGTTGCTTTGCCTTAGTTTGGTCTCTTATTTACCCCATTTGGATACTCATGGCAGCTCTATCGCGATGCGTCCCAGTTGTTTACATTACTAACTGTCGTACTCTGTCTCACAGCTTGTGCTTGAACGCAATTCAGAGATGTTCCACAGGCAGTGAGAAGTGGAAGGAGGGATTAAACCCTCTGGTTCTGCTGCTTGTTGCAGCTTTCCCCACCTTTTTTCCATGCTCTCTTAGGAGAGCTCTGGACAGCATCTCTCCCCTTCCTCCCATCTGCACTGTTGGGCTACAACTCTTGGCCACCTTTGCCTTGTGCTTGAGATATGTACAAAAAAAATGGTTCTGTATAACCTTCCCTCTGGCCCAAGAATTATTCCCAAGCATGTGTTTGATTTAAACTTTTTTTTTTGATACAAGGGAAGCTAAACTACTACAAGCTTCTTTAGCTAAGATGGGTACAGCACTTTACCCAATTTAGTTGGAAATCCTGAAACACCTTAAGCAACATCATAATGAATATATTCTTATTTCCTACCTTGCACCTTATTGATCCAATGACACCTGTGCAAGGGTGTCCCAATCAGAAGTGTTTTTTGATTAATGCTACTTCGCTTACAGATCACAACCTTTTAACCCCTCTATCATCTTATGCCCTCTCCACTCTGCTTAAGGAGCTATATGCATTAAGGGAAGCAAGGTAAAGATAGGAAAAAAGAGAAAGACAAGTGGAAGAAGTGATACAATTTTAAACTTTTTTACCTTACCTTATTATAGACAGCTACAGCTAAACTGAAAAAAGGAGGTATTAATTGTACTTCAAAAGCCTGTTAAGTTCATCTTTTATTTGTGCAACAAGAACTAGTAAAGCAA